AACTTAAGTAATCGTGTAAGACGAAGCTTTGAGAAGCCTGTATCTATAAAATGGCTAGAAGTCAATGAAAAAACAAATATTTATCCTTGCACTCAAGGACTAGAATATGTGATGGATGTTTGGAAGTCCTAGTTGCTGTGCTGGCGCTCTTGTAATTAGTCAGCTGAATGATTCCCACCTCCTTCCATCTTACACTACTGCTGGGGCAAGGAAATATTTCTGGAGTCTGTTAAACCAGCACTAAGTAAGGGTTGTATTATCTAGTTTAGCTGACCTAATGAATTCTGGGTCCTTATACAAGATATTTCCAGTGCTGGTTCAGTGCTAGAATCATGACTTATTACTGAAACAGAGTTTGCATATCTTTCAACTCCAGCCACAGTTTTTTCCATGTTAACTCATGGAGTTAGCTCATTTTGTGTTTTTTACAGCTTTATAAAGTCTAAACTAAGCTAATGGAAGAAAGAGGAGGAGGAAGAGCTTTAGCTAATAGCAGTTATTCACCAGGAAGCTCATGGTGCCAGTTTCCAGACTAGCAACCAGGAGTGCCCAAAGTGACTTTGACTTTAAGCATTCCCATGACAGTGTACTGCAGACTGTATCACCTACCACTCTGTCCACCGGCCTGTTCATGGAAATTGAAGCCAGGGTTGTTGAATTTCAACAGTTCACTACTGAAGCAGAATAAAAATGTGCAATGCATGAAGTGAAACTATGTCACTTCAAAAAGATACCACTGGATCCCCTCCATAAGGTGTGGGGCATGACACTGTGTCTTGAATTCCTAATGTGACACATTGTAATTTAACTGTCAATAAATAGTGTGTTTGTGTGTGTAGAAGGGGTCCATATAGCTTACTGCCCAGATGATTTGAGAATAAACGCTCCTGCTTGGACTCCTGTTACCATGGGGCAGTCAAGTGTCCAGTCTAACTCCCCATGTAGAGGCCTGTACTGACATAAATCTACTTCCCCTGTAAATCTGACTGGTTTAGCATTCCCTGCTATGCACCAAACTGACTCTGTAATAGTGGGGCAGGATACCCTCACCTCTCATGCATCACCCATGCTGTCTGCTTGTCTCAGTCCATAAGGTTTTGGGGCACCAACCTTGGAAGAGAAAAGATTCTAGCTGTTCAAAGCAAGCTGAGCTTCCCTGGACCCTCAACCTAAGTAAAGTGTAACTCAAAAGTATTAAAGGTGGGGGGAAATCCTTTGTATGTCACTGTTTGTGCTCTAATGGCACTTAGAAGCACAGATTTTTCTTCGATTTTTTTTTCAGCTGTTTCTTGGCTCTAGTTACAACCGAGTCCTTGCATTATGCTGGCTTGCTTCTATTTAAGTGCACCATCCTCTCTGTTAATTTGTACTGTCTTATCCTACCCTTATTGACCACTCTCCTGCCTATATCATCACGGACAATAGCTCCTACTCCCAATGGGGCCTTTTGGTATCTCTATAATGTAAAAGTTTACTACTTATAAGCTGTAACACACTCTGAGATGTGTAATAACTGTTGTTCAATTCTACACTGCTTCTAATACTTCAAGGGTTCACAAGTTAAATTACTCCTTTGCATTTACTTGGTTAAACAGACTTAGCTTATAGTAAAGCTTGTAAATATTGTGTGGGACAACATGACTGGGTCAAAAGGAATCTCATGAGGTTCAACAAGGACCAGTGCAAAGTCCTGCACTTAGGATGGAGAAATCCCATATACCAGCACAGGCTGGGGACTGACTGGCTGTGCAGCAGCTCTGCAGAAAAGGATCTGGGGGTTACAGTGGACAGTAAACTGAATATGAGCCAGCAGTGTGCCCTTGTTGCAAGGAAGGCTAATGGCATCCTGGGCTGCATCAGTAGGAGTGTCCCCAGTAGGTCAAGAGAAATGATTATTCCCCTCTATTCAGCACTGCTGAAGCCACATCTGGAGTCCTGTGTCCAGTTTTGGGCCCCCACTACAGAAAGGATGTGAACAAATTGGACAGAGTGCAGCAGAGGGCAACAAAAATAGTGAGGGGGCTGCAGGACATGACTTATAAGGAAAGACTGAGGGAACTGGGCTTATTTAGTACAGAGAAGAGGAGACTGAGAGTGAATTTAATAGCAGCCTTCAACTCTCTGAAGGGGGGTTCGAAAGAGAATGGAGCTGGACTGTTCTCAGTGGTGGCAGATGACAGAACAAGGAGCAATGGCCTCAAGTTGCAGCAAGGGAAGTTGAGGTTAGATATTAGGAAGAATTTTCTCATGGGAGGGTAGTAAAACACTGAACAGGTTACCCAGAGAGGTGGTGGAAGCTCCATCCTTGGAGGTTTTTAAGACCCGCTAGACAAAGCTTTGACTGGGATGATCTAGTTGGGGATGCTGCTGCCTTGAGCAGGGGGTTGGACTAGATGTGACCTCCTGAGGTCCCTTCTAACCCAAACTTTCTATGATTGTATGATTCTAATAGAGCAATTCTACTATAAGGAACATAGAAGACCGCAGTAGGTCAGAATGTTTTTAACCCTATGGATTTTGAGTTGAAATCTCTGGGTTTCTCCTGTGGATCAGGTGTAGGTATTTGCACACCTAACAGCACTAATATTGTGCAGCATCCCACAACACCTTTAAAAGGATCTGCAGAGTGCCATAGCACTCAGGTTGAGAACTGCTAGCTTACAGAATGTGCAGGACAACCAGATTACCCCAAACATTACTCCTATTCCATTATAGCCTGGCTTTGGTACCTGAGATGCAGCACAAAGTAGGAATATAAGCAAGTCACTCATCCAGTGTCCTTATAAGGCCAGTCAACAGCGTGTCTAGGGTTTCCACTCCAGCCAGTTTATTTTACATGGCACAGCCTTGTGCAAATGATAAGGAAGTTGCTCAGTAAGAAAGGCTCAGCAGAGAGAGCATGAGAACACACTTGAGATGACCTTTTCACATATTTAGTGTTCACCAAGTATACAAAGCTTCAGGAAGACCCGAATCTACCCCCAGCTCTGTGACATGACCCTATTCTTGTACATGTAAAGTAGTCATTATGTAGTCTCTTGTAAACAAATCATTACTTGGTTTACAGAGAGATTGGTGCGAATGGAACATAGCTATTTCTCGTGATGTGAACATATTGGGTACGTCTACACGTGCACTTTAATGCACAGTAGCCTATTTTACTGCGCATTAAAGCATCACATAAAAAGTGCAATTATGCTCATGCACAGTAAAATAGGCTACTGCACATTAAGCATCGCTTTAAAACTGTGCACATTCACTACTGCACATTAAGGCAGCATAATGCGCATTTCTTTAGTGCCGCACATTGGAGGTACTACATTTAATGTACATTAGAAAAAGTGCCCGTGTAGACATACCCAGTGACACAAAGGAGGAATGTAGCAGTACTGACTTGTGCCCTGGTCTGACCCTGATCACTCCATTCCTTGGAGAACAACAGCTAATGTCTCCTTGCACAGGTGTGGTCACAATGCTTGAGGAAAGAAAGGACATTTTTTCCCCCCATCCTAAGTGAGTCGAAGTGAGTGAAGTCCCACAGTCAAGTATATGTGTAAAAATAAAAGGCTTTTTCTGTGCAATAATAAGAGAAGGGGGCACAGAAAACTGAAAATGGCCAATTCAGCTTTTCATTGCAGCATTTAGTGGTCAGTCTCAGTCATCCGCTGTTCACATTCTTCACTAAGGCTGAAACCCAAGAGCAAACACATAAAAGCATTTGGAAAACAGTTATATAAAAGAATTTGATGAGCGACCTCTCTCCACTTAGGGTGAGCATGTGTTTTAGGTGAGCTCTCTGGAGACATCACAAATAACAGCAATGAGGAAGCTGATTGAATCTTTTTCTTGGCAGGCCAGAGCCCAAACAGACAGGGAGCAGATGAAAACCTAAGTCTGTCTGAGCTGACTGAAAATGCTTAGTCTCAAATCTGAGGTCTGATTTCCAGCAGATGGGGGTGGAAATACAAGGCCTCCAGGCAGTTTGTATAACTCTAGGATGAGGGGTGGTAGAGGCCACCAAACTTTGCAGCCAGGTAGAGTACACTTTTACCAGTATAAGTGATCGGAAACCAGTTTATACCCAGAACAGAATAGAAGTTGACACACAAAACCAGTCTATACCTGTAACAGAACAGAAGTTTGGTGCACACAGACTGGTTTAAACATGGTAGAATCCAGTCTAAGATTTGCTCCCTCCACTAAAGGGCAAATGTGTGTTCTGTTCACTACTGATCTAAACTATATCGCTTACAGAAAACTGCGTAACTTAGACTGATTCCACCTTGGGCTTTTTGAATGTTTGTACCTAGCATGGAAACTCATCTGAAATGCAGATAGCCAGACCAACAGTCCTAAATAGTGCTCCTGAATCAGCTGCTGGGGCTGAGCCTAAGCAAGATCTGCCACTCTCCTCCTGACTTTGGAGATCAGCTGTTACTTGAAAAGGAGTCCACTTTCCAATTGTGTACATGTGCCCCCCACTTACAAATGAAAAAAAAATCTCCATTCAATATGCAACCACAGTGAAACCACTAACTCTTCAAGGCTGGCCTTGCTCCCATGCAGATGGTAGCAAAGACAGGGTTGATGATTACCATTGTGCACCGAATGGCAAAGGATAAGACCATGTTTGTTCCTTTCTAACTGTTGCTTTAGATTTGGGTGTGTTTGTTAGCCTGCATTACAGCAGCCATTGACAAGGTGTATTGCTAGTGACTGCCAGTTCGAATAAAACCCATGTTCTATTTTATTTTATTTCATTTCATTTTAACCTTTTAAAGCAACATATAAAATGACCATAAAATACATGGCCCAAACAAGAGGGGTGTAGCTACAACATTTGTTTTCCAAAAGGGAAGTGTAGTAGAAGGGAACACTTCTTTGTAGGAACTAATATTCAGGAAGCTGGGGGAATGGGTTTTGTGTGGCTCTTTAGTCCTATTTAAACTAGCCTAAGCTAAGCGAGATTGATAGGAGGCTTTGTTCATTTTTTTTTGGAAGTTGCTTCATAGGAATCTGGTAAGTCAACAGCTGTTTTACCCTAAGAGTTGAGGTGTTTTCTCAGATCCCTAACTTCAGTGGGGTAAGTTAAAGTAAGTTAACTGGTATTTAATAATAAAAGTGCATACACCTGAAATCTATGTATGAAGAGGCTGGATAACTATATGCCCTGTTCTACTTAATCCTTTTCTTAATGATTGCAGTGTCACTATCCCCACTTGCTTAAACTGAGGGACTTAAAAAAAATCACAAGAGATGCTTTCAAAATACCAAAACTTGCTAGGTTCAACGTATGTAGCTTCTGATTCTTGAGTCTCTCTTGTGCTCCTATGCCAAAGCTTATAGCTGTTACTCTCTTATGCACCTGCAATGCTTTACATTTTAACACTGGTGGTGTCTTTTCTGAAAGCTACCGTGGTGGCTGAAAACACAAAATTACGGTAATCATTTCAAAACTTGTGAATTGGGAGTATCCCACTTCCTTGGAATGAGACTGGAGCTTTAAGTAACTTGAAGTCATCTGAAACTGACCCTGTGTGTTGGTGGAGGCACTGAGTAGATTGTTAAAGCTACTAAACTTCAGGCACGGTCTTTTCAACAACTCCTATTTGTACAGCCCTGTCAGCCACAATTGACTTGCCCCAAGCTATATCAAGGCAGAATGTATCCCTGTAGCTGGGTATTTAATAGCTATACTTCAATAAGCTAGAAGAAGATTCAAGCTTTAATGGCTTTACATGTGTAAATAAGACTCTCTTCTTGTGCATAATGCTGACTGCTCTGATAAAATAATGCTTCCCCCCCCCCCCCTTTAAAGGAGGGAGAAACTTGCTGCTCTAATCATTAATGCCCTGAGTTCAGAAGCTTATTAACAAAAGGTCTCTGAGCCATCTTACTCCCTAAGATGACAGTAGGCTTAGTCTGGTTGTCACCTCTGGTTCATAAATCTAGCAAGCTGACTGCGTTGTTGGGAGTAAAGATGGACATGTGCTATGCTTAACTTGTCTTGGTACTATTGCTTTGAGTTTTGATCTTGCAAAAATGACTGCTGCATAAGGCAGCATTTCTTCCTCAAAATCCATCCTGAGCATACCTCCCAGTGGTTGTGAGGGCAGTAAGCTTGAGTCCTGCTGTAGTGCCTACAAACTAGGAATTATGCTGGTGTGTTTTTTATTTTTTTTATATATAATAAAATACTTGCCATGGCAGAGCTGTGACCCTGAATGTTAGCCCCCCTGCCACAGTGATTCCCAACAGTGCCCACATACCCTCACAAATGATGTGAAGGAGCTAGTGGGTATTCTGTGTTGCACACCAGTGGCTTGCTTGCTACAATGAAATGATATGGACACTCGTGTATGGGGTTTTTTTTTTTTTTTTTTTTCAGGTGCTGCTGCTGCAGACTGTTAACATGGGGAGTGAATTCAGCAAGAAGGCCAGCTGTTGCATGACTTGTGGGAAGTACAAGAAACAGAAGGCTGAAGAAGCAGTCAATGAGACCAGTGAGACTCAGCCTATTATACAGGCCTCTGAGGAAGCCCCTGCGTGGATGGACCACCAGCCTCCTGCAAAGACTAGGGAAGCATCTGAGCAACATGCTAGTGAGGCCCTGCCAACACAACCAGACAAACTGCTACCTGTTGAGACTGTAGAAGAGGCTGGAGAGGCTCAGCCAGCTGAAGATGCTGAACAAGGGATAACTGCAGGCACCACAGAAAGACTTATGGAGGCCCTGCTTGCTGCTGTAGAGACCAAAGTTGCACCTGAAACGGAACCCAAGCAAGAGATGGGGGAGGCAGATGCTACTCCACAAGCCAAAGAGGCCTTGCAGGGTGCTGAGGCCTGGCCTGCTTCAGGCATTACTCAAGCTGTCAAGGCTGCAGCAGAGGGCAGAGTGCCTGATGCACCACCCTTGGTAGGTGCTGAGCAACTTCAGCTTCCCCAAGGGAACAAGCCCCAAAACTCAGCGCAGGCCACAGAACAGCCTGAAGCTGCACAGGGCCTTGAGGCCCCACCTGATGCAGAGACAGCCTTGGGGAAGAACAAGCCTCTTTTGGCTGAAGACCAGAGTGAGAAGTATGCTGCAATGACTCCTGTGCAAGGAACAGGTAGGCCTGAGCCTGCTGTGGTGACTCTTCAGCCCCCTGTAAAGAACTGGTTTGCCCAGACCATAGAGAAGACCAGATCCCAATCTGTTCTACAGGTGGCACAAGAGCCTACAGAGGCAACATCTGTTTCACAGGCCATGGAAGTGACCCCCAGGAGCATCACTGAAACACCATTAAGTCTGCAACCCTCTAATGTGGTCTCCCCAGTAAATGTGGCCCTCAGCATGAATGCACTAAAACCTGTGAACAAATTAAATGATCTAGCCAGGCAAGAGACCCAAAATGGTGAACAGCTTGCACAAAAGGCCAAGCAGCAGTGTGCAGCAGAGCCGATGGAAATAAAGGTTGAATGCGAGGAGAGCAGAGCAGATGACGGAGTCCTGGCTGTCCCAGCAGGAGCTGAGGCAAGAAAGGGGTCCTTGGATGCTTCTGATGAAGGCCAGGCACCTGCAGCTGCTAATCCAGAGCAGCAACAGCAGGATATGGACCAACCAGACCATCTTCCAGAAGAGGTCTTGCCTTCCACTGCTACTACTTGCCTGTCTGGAAGAGGGGAAACAAACTCTGCACATCTGGAAACCTTAGTGCCTCAAGCATTTGAGAACCAAGGGGAAGAAGAGGCGGAAAAGACCGTCGAGCATCCGGGGGAAATGGCTCCAGTTTTGGATTGCAGACCTTATAGCATTAAACCTGCACCTGCTCCTGGAGCACCCTGCCCAGCTAAATAATGCTGCCCCTCTATTCATGGAATGTATGTAGACTCATTCTGTTTTTTTACAAGTCCATCAGACTTACTGGAGCCCTAATGTCAGAGTGTACATGTACAGTAAATTGTCTGTAGCTGTAGTTCAGTTTGGTGTCCCAATTCTGCCATGAGAGAGTGACTTATAAGAACGCATGATGCATCTTCCTCCTCACAAGTATATTTAAAG